GCGGCAGCCGCCGAAGTTAAAAAATTACTTGATGCAGGGTTCATTCGGCAATGTTACTTCCCAGACTGGGTTGCAAATGTGGTGCTTGTTAAAAAGCCGAATGGCACCTGGCGAATGTGTGTAGACTACACAGAATTAAACAAGGCGTGCCCCAAAGACAGTTACCCTCTGCCTAAAATTGATAACCTGGTCGACTCAACAGTCGGCCATGCTTTGATGAGCTTTATGGACGCCTACTCTGGTTTCCATCAAATTCCTTTATGGAAGAAAGATCAGGAGAAGACGGCCTTCGTCACTGATCAGGGGTTATACTGTTACACGGTCATGTCGTTTGGTCTTAAGAATGCCCCGGCTACCTTCCAGCGAATGATAAACACTGTGTTCTTTGATCAGATTGGGAGAAACGTCGAGGCATACATTGATGATATGATTGTCAAGACTAAACTTCAGAAAGATCATCTGTCGGACCTCCGAGAAACTTTCGCCACACACAGGCGGCACCATGTCATGCTCAATCCCAAGAAATGTGTCTTTGGAGTTGAGTCTGGGAAATTTCTCGGATTCCTTATCAATCAGAGAGGAATAGAGGCGAACCCTGAGAAGGTGCAGGCGGTCATTGACATGCAGTCGCCTCGTACCATCCGAGAGGTTCAGAAGTTAACAGGTTGTCTGGGCCATTAGGACGACTGAAAAAGGGGCGACTGGAGAAACTCCATTCCTCCTAACTTATGGTGCAGAAGTTGTTCTTCCAATAGAACACTACGAGCCGACTCTTCGAGTAATGCTATATGACGAAGAGGCAAACTGGGAAGCCATGCGCCTGGCATTAGACTCACTTCCTGAAAGGAGGGGCAATGTTGTCTTGCGCCATGAAATTTACCGCCTGAGAAGGACTAGATCATACAACAAAAAAGTACACAGGCGTCCACTCAAAGTGGGGGACTTTGTACTCAGAAAAATGGAAGCAGTTGGTAGGGCTAATGAGTCTGGCAAACTAACTCCCAACTGGGAAGGACCCTACCGAATCTGTGAAGAGGTCAGGGACGGTACCTACCGTCTGGGAACACCAGACGGACAACCGCTGCCTCGAACTTAGAATGTAGATAATCTTAAGAAAAATTTCTTTTGAATGATGTAAATAGTCAAGGGCTACTTAATAAAAGTTTGCGTACTTAATATTCAATTTTGTACTAAGAGGGGCACGCCTACTAACAAACAGTCGGCTACTCTCCATGTTTAATTTTTTCTTCAGAGGGGCATGCCGTCTGTACCTTTACAGTCGGCTACTCTCCATTGAGTATTTTACTCTATCTTCAGAGGGGCATGCCGTCTGTACCTTTACAGTCGGCTACTCTCCATAGAGTATTTTACTTTCAGAGGGGCATGCCGTCTGTACCTTTACAGTCGGCTACTCTCCATAAAGTATTTTACTCTATCTTCAGAGGGGCATGCCGTCTGTACCTTTACAGTCGGCTACTCTTCATAGGGGCATGCCGTCTGGACATATAGTCGGCTACTCTCCATAAAAGAGGGCCGACTGGTTCCAAACACACGGCCACCCCCCTTAACTAAAAATGATCAGGGCCTGGCCGACCCTGTGCCTAACAGGCGGCTACCCTCCTTCTACTTAGCACCTACGTTCACCAAGAACTAACCAAGGCCACAGGCCGAATGATCAGACCAGGCGCCAAGCCAACTGATCAAATCTTCAAAACTAATACGACCTGTCCCAACATCATAGCAGGCGTCCGGCGGCATCCCTCCGGATGAAATTCGTCGCAGAGAGCAGCTCCCTTTTGGGTGGAACATTGCTCTATAAACTAATTACACGACACCTATACGACTGTCCCCAAGGGCAACCACGTAGCCGTTTTTGAGACAAGGATAACTCTATCACTAACCAAACCAGTGGTAGCAGTTGACATCTGAGTCAGATGACCGCCTGTATTACTTGGGATAAATGCAAGGGGTACCTCTTGAGTTAATAGCCAACAAACATTGGCGAATCAAAAGGTTCAGTCGGCCTCCGCCGCCTGGTACCTTTACTACTCAAGCAGGAGTGACGGCGACTGAGTAACACCAAAGTTAACTCATAGTCACTCTCTCAAACTTAGTATGGAGCCTAAAAGGTATGAGTCGTCCGCCTGTTTTTAGCAAACAGGGGCTCTCAACCACTACTCCTGCTAGGTTAACAACCTATGAGTTAAAAGCCAACAAACATTGGCGAATAAAGGGGAACAACCGGTACCCACCGCTTGATACCTCTACTACTCAGTTACTTGGTGACTAGGTAACAATCATGTTTACTTGGTCAAACCACTTTCCTACTTGGTTAATTTTACAAATGACAGGACCGCCTGCCTAAAGGGGATCCAGTCTTTAAAAATGGTTCGAATACCGATTGGATAAATGGCCGACTGATCGTCTAGCCTGGAAACAGACAACCAGTCGTCCAGGGGCATAGGCGGCGTGACTAACTATCCGTACCTGTTTGCAACTACCGGCCATGTAAAACAGTCGGTATAGTGTACAATTGGATATCAGAATATTCAATACTTAAACAAATTTGAAGCAAAACAAAAAAAATTCATTAAAAAGAAGCCGGTCATTAAAGACCGGCAAAATATTCAGAGCCCCGGCCCCCTGGCCGGGTAAATACAAACAAACGGCACGCAGGCCGTGGAAAGAAGACATAAAGCTTAAGAAGGGGGCAGATCTTCAATATTAGCAGCTGCCGCCTGGTCAGCACTCTTCTTGCTGGACTCGGCTTCAGCTGCATCCTTCTTTGATGCATTACCCCCAAGCGGCACAAGCTCCACTACCGGCTGCTCCTCCTCCTCCAACGCCTCTTCCTCAGCAGCCGCCAGGATCTCTTGATTATATCTATCAGAACACTGGCGGTACGTTTTTTCCCAGGAGGCAAAGTCGGCATTGGGGAAGAGGCGGCCCCAAGTCATGCGTTGGATTTGAGCAGAGTCTTCCATCATCTCCCGGACCAGCTCTTTCTTTTCTTGCTCGGCCTTTTCCGAGAGCTCCTGAGTAAGACTCTTCTCCTGGGTCACCAGGCGTACCTTTACGCTCGCCAAGGATTTCTCCAAGGTTTCGTATGAGGACATCTTTTGGAGAAGAGGTCTCAGCTCGGCCTTGAGATTGTTGATGGTCGCCTCCAGCTCGCTATTCCTCTTCTGGGCCGCCTCTAACTGAGCCCGGATAGCGGCGGTAGCCTGCGCCTGATAATAAAGAATATCAATGGTCAGAACTTCATTTTGGGCAATTTGAAACATTGCCTTATCACAGTCAGAGGCGGCCATAGCTTTTGCAGCCTTTACCTCTTTGTTCTTCCGGTCAAGCGGCTTGCGAAGGCCGTTCCGGTCAAGCGGATTTTGCTCCCACCAATCGGAATGCGCCACGTGGGCCAATCAGGTCCTGCCAAGTGTCCCTCAGTTGGAACTGTCAGGGCTTGCCACGTGGCACCCGCTTATTTGTCCACCTTGGACCTATTATGTCATGACACGTGGCATACTCCATGCCTAATGGAGAAACCGGCCACCCAGGCCCAACTTCCGAGGGAAGCCCCATCAGCCCAAGGTTAACCTAAACCTAGGGTTGGCACGCTTCTCAAAGACTATAAATACTTAATTAATCCTCATTAAAGGGGATTAAGCAATTAAACACTCTCACCTAGAGAGACCCAATCACATTAATTTCCGCATTAATTACTCCTCAAACAAGTACTAACTTGACCGTTGGAGGCGGAGCTCCCACCACCAGGAGTCTCCGTTGTTTTGCAGGTACAGGCGTCCGGTTCCAGTCTCGGAATTGTAACTCTCCCGCAGGACATCAGAAAACTCCGAAACAAGTATCACTAGTATGGATCAAGTACCATGTAGGATGTGACATGGTGTGCCTTGAACCATGTTCATGGTTGAGTGTGTTATTTATTACGTATTCCGTAATATTTATGCGTTTTGATAGTGGGCATGATAACTATCTTGACAATTTGGTTATCCTAAAAATACATTATTGGCAACTTAGTATTTTAGTAATGTGTATCACTGTATCTTTCTAAAACACCGGTGATAGTGGGAAAGTTGAGATGAATGCCCAAAACTTTGTTGAAATATGGTACATATCATGTCTTTTCTATTTAGGAAAATGATAAATGTGCAAACATATAAAAAGTACAATACAAAAAAGAAACCATGAATAATTAAGCTTTTTCTAACACAAATTGGCATGTATTTTTGTCATAATTTCTCTATCTTAGTAAGGAGTGGAATATCATTTCAGAAAATGCATATATTCATCATATTGATCATATGCATATAAAATCACCCATCTATTTAAAGGAAAATGAAAATATATGTCAATACTTCGTATTGAATACGGAGAATGTATCTAGTTATCTCGTATGATTCTCATATGAGTTGTTTTCTACTCATAAATACCCGAAAACAATACTAACCATGAAACCAATAAATTTAAGAAAGCATGATCCACAATTGTTACATAAATGATCGATATTTGTAGAATTCTATATTACTCGATCTTTACACTCTAAAAAAAATTACGGAGTACGGAGTAACAAATGATCCACAATTGTGAAAGCTAATTAATTTTTTCAACTTCTAATTAATTTTAAAACTCCTTTTCATCGTTATAAAACCAATATACGTAGTAATAAGTAATAACGAAGGTAATCCTAAAACCTCTATATGCTACGGAGTTCTCCGTATTAACCTACCAAAACACCACAAGCTTCCACGACCCGAACCTCATAAATCACAAGCAATCCGCATTGAAGTCGGGTGATATTAAACCCACATCCCCAATTTCTCCCTCACCCTCCAACACCAAGGATTTGCATTCCATTCATTCCGACCCCCCAAAATCTCCTCCGTAATTCCTCTCTTTCTCCCTCATTTCTTCAAACCCACAATCCCAAAAAAGCAATTAATAAAAACAAACCCAAGAAAAAGAAATTAAATATACCCTTCAAATTTCACCCCTTTATATACCACTCTACTAGTACAACGGATCCAAAAAATAAAATAAATTCTCCAATTCAAATTCCCACCTTATTTTCTCTCTCCTCTTTACAATGAAAACCACCCCTAAACTCATCGTCTTCCACCCTTCCCTCTACAAACAATCCTCCTCCACTATCTCGTCGCTATCATTACCATCCTCGCTATCGCACCGTATATGGGTACTCGTATTCTTCACTCTCTTCACCTTCACATTCCTCCTAACCGTTTTTAAAAACACCACCCTACCACCCCCAACACCGCCCACCACCCCATCAACCACCGCCAACCACCAATCCGCCGCCGTATCCGCCGCCCTCCTCCACTACGCCGCCATCTCAAACACCACCGACCGTATGACCTCCGGCGAACTCTCCGCCGTCGCAACCGCCCTCCGCCGCTGCTCTCCGCCGTGCAACTTCCTCATCTTCGGCCTCACCCACGAAACCCTCCTCTGGCGTGCCCTCAACTCCGGCGGTCGCACCGTCTTCCTCGACGAAAACGAGTATTTAATCTCGAAATTCGAGCAAAACTTCACCGATTTCGAAGGTTACGACGTTCAATACACCACCAAAGTCGGAAAATCAGCCGAACTCATCGAACATTCTAGAATCCACCGTAAGGGTGATTGTAGACCAGTACAGAATCTCCTCTTTTCCGAATGTAAATTAGCGATTAACGATCTTCCGAATCATTTGTACGAGATTTCATGGGACGTAATCTTGATCGATGGTCCAAGAGGGTACTCGGCGAAGATGCCGGGAAGAATGGCGGCGATATTTAGCGCCGCCGTGATGGGGCGGAGCAGGGGAGGAGAGAGAAAGTCCGGTAAAAGAAAAGGGACTGAGATTTTTGTTCATGATTATGGGAGAGAAGTTGAAAGGGTTTTTAGTGAAGAGTTTTTGTGTAAGGAGAATTTGGTGGAAGTTAGAGATTCTTTGGCTCATTTTGTGGTAAAAGAGATGAAGGGTGAGAGTTTTGAATTTTGTTTAGGAGAATCAAGCAATTCTTCTTGATCATCATTATAAATTATAATTATATGAATTGATTAAGAGTTATAGTAGTAGTCATGAACTCATGGTAGGTATGTTATAAATTTACTATATTTCTACTCATGTATACACCCGGGTGTATAGAATATCTAAGACGTAGTTTATGTTATTTCTTCTCGTTTTTTATTAGAGGTTCATTGTACGGGGATTAGAGGTAAGTACAGTCGGGTGTATATAGTTATCGGTCTGAAGAGAGGTCGATTATTAGTAATCAGAGTGATGTAAACTGTAAAGTAAATTAAATGAAAGTACGTTTTAATTTTTTGATGAATGAAAGATTGAAAATTGGAGGAATGTGAATTGCAAGATGTGTATGAAGTGGGGTCAAAAGATGTGGACTAGCAGTATGAAAATGTACTAGTTATTGTGGCATGGTGGTGACAGTAGAAAATGAGAACTGATAATTTGAATCATGTGTTGTACTCGTACACAGCTACACATGGGTAAGGGATTGAAGCCGGAATAATTGGGGTTCAGGTTATTACTTCAATGAATGTGATAAGGTTGAACTTACAAATGAAATCTTGCCTTTAAGAAGAGGGAATATATTACCTTAATTCACAGATTTTTTTCTTGTCCTGATATTGATTCTTGTTATGAGTAAAGGTAAGAACAATATAATTTGGACTAATACAGAGTGACAGAATAAAGAGAGTACTCGGTAATTATTTAGGTTTGTACTTTGACATAGTGGTTTATACTCGAGACAACGGAGTATATTTCAAATTTAACGAATTTTATATTTTCTTCGTTCCGCTTAAAATCTAGCTTTGAAATCCGGTTTAGAATTTTTTGTCTATTTTCTATGCTCTTTTTTATTGCGTTATGTACACTCTAATACACTATTTTTAAGCACGTTCATGTTTTATATACAGCCAGAATATATTTTCCATTATCTTGAAAATGTATCTTAATTTCTCTGTTTTGGTCTATTCACAACAGTTTTAAGTTCATGCATCTCTGTCACAAAAGTGTAGTCAGTAAACCTTAACATCAATAAACTAATACAAGTACTTCGTAAATTGTTAATGCATAGAATAACATATAGATTACGTAGCAGTTTGTTGTGTGGGTCTTCGATGTATAATGTGACAAAACCTCATGAAATATGTTGCTAAAATTCTTCCAGATCCTTGAAGATCGTGCGTTGATAAGGTGCCTAATATAATATGGATCAAATAGGTAAATAATCAAAATTAAATTAATATAAATTTAATTAGGAGTACGTAAGTATTTAATTGCTCATGCCAAAGTCTTGGGTGGCGCATGAAACAGCCCTCGTGAAGTGGCCTGGGCTATTTACTCATTTATTTCTGTATGTGCTACGTTTGGTGGTGTGGAACAGTGCTTATATATTATACTACCTCCGCTTAGGGATGGCAACGGGTCGGATCTGGATCCGGGTCCAGATCCGTTTTTGTATGTAGGATTCAGATCCGACTCGGATCCGGATCCGGGTCCAAAACGGGTCCAATATATTTTGCCTAATTTTTTGCAAAAAATGTAATGTTTGGGTCAAAAATTTTATTTCAAACTTACATTGTTGGTTATTAAGTTGAACCCCAAATTAACCAACTTATACACTCATATTTTGAATTAAAATTAAAAACAACAAAAAAAAAATACGATGTTACATATGAGCAAGTGAAAAAACAACGATGATGTAAATAATATGAGCATCCAAAATTCATCTCTTGAAAGGGTTAATCTTTATCATTACTAACATTATCAACATTTTTAATAAAGAAACAAACAATTTTAGTTTTTTTTTAATAGGAAAAAAAAAAAAAAAAAAAAACGGGTCCACGGATCTGGATCCGGGTCTAGGGCCCAGACCAAGATCCAGATCCGTTTTTGTCAGCAGGACCCGGATCCGTCGGGTCCAAAATTTGAAGACCCGGATCAGTGAAAAACGGATCTGGATCCACGGATCCGGGTCGGGTCCAGATCCATTGTCATCCCTACGGCTCCGCTTCGCATTATTTGTAACAAAGGAATATTTTATATCTCATAAATAATACCCTTTTGTTACGAGTAATGCGAAACGGAGATAGTATATAGCTCAGGGAATATAAAAGGCATACGTAGCACATTTATGAGTCACAAATTCTATTATACATCAAGGCATATTAAAATTAGGGAAATGTTATACATAGCCCTTAGGGCTACATATAAGCATTAAATTTACACTTGAAAATCGTAAAAAGTTAAGAAATCGTCAAAATATAAACACTAATAACACTGATTTACCCGTGTTTTTGTCATGAATTTTTAATTTTATACAATTTCCAGTATATTTAATGCTTATATATATAGTCCTTAGGGCTACGTATAACATTTCCTTTAAAATTAAAACATTTTTCCTGTCAAAAAAAAAAAAAAATTAAGGCAATTTTGGTATATTAGTGGTTAGTTTACGACTTCACGATACATAATACAATTCTATATTTGTCATGCTTAGAGTTACATCAACAATATGATTAAGACTAGAGGTCCTAATAACTTCCTAATATTTGTATTCTATAATTTGCATAATCAAGAAGCTAAATTTAAGCATTAAGCACTAATGTAATGCACAAAATACACTTGCTAGCTTCTTTCTTTACGTACACTTTGATCTTGATTTCTTGAAAGTCACAACTCACAAACATGAAATAAGATAGCCCACATACACAACTGGATCATGTGTGTTAAGCAGACATCTCACAGCTTTAGCTACCTAAAGAAGCCATTTTTTCTTTAGCTTTGTTTTTAACTTTTAAATATGAGCTTAATTAATTTGTTTTTCTGCTTTAAAAGGAAATGAAGAAGCTGAGATCACGTGATTCTATAAAGACATGCTTGCTTCCTACATACTCCCTATAAATCAAAGTTTATTATAGCTAGTTCCAATTTTTGAATTAAAAAAATGACTTTATTTAACTTTAATTAGTAAGATTTAATCGACTATTATACAATCAATCAATCAAAATTATAGTAAAAACATCTATCTCTTTCGAACATTTGAGAATGTAGCTAGTCTAAAGTTTATGATGTGTACGTACAGTGTATGTTCTATTTCTTGAACTACAATTTGTAGTTATTTCAAACAATATTACAAAACTAATCACTAATCAGTCAATTCATTATTAATTATTAGTTAAATTATCTACAATAAGTGAACCAATTATTTCATTGATTTAGAAGAAAGAGGTCTACTTCACAAAAATGTGGGAGACATAAAAATTTAAATGGTGTTTTTTTGTTTTAGAAGAATCGGTAATTAGCCGACCATTAGATGAGACTAATGTGATGGTTAAATTGTAACTATTATATACTTGAAACTGAACCAAAATAATGAATTATCAAACAACCTTTAGATGAAGCATAAATTAAAGCTCACAAGTTTCATAATAAGTTATTAAATTATAGATTAGCTTAGAGTCTGTTCACATTTACTGAACTGAACTGATTGAAGTTGTACTGAATATTTTATAAGAGAAGAAAATTACGAGTTAAACTAAAATTAAGCTAAAGTGATCATACGCATAGTCTCACATCATTTTACAATTTACATGTCTCACGTTTTAGTATAGTTAAATAGGCAATATGGTAGTTAGCATGTCTATAAAAGATTTATTTATTTATTATTTTTCTTTTTTCCTTTTTGTTCTTATTAAGTTTTGTCTTTTTAGTTTAGTTTTTGCATTTGTGAGAAATTTTCTAAGTAACTTAAAATGATTGTAGTACGGTGTCGGTGAAGGATGGAAACTACAAAGTTTGAAAATGTTCTACTATAAATATCATACGAAACATTTATTTTGGATAAATGTAAGTAATATATAACTCATCTATTAAGTCTTAACTCTTTATCTAATTAATTTTTGCAATTCTATATTAACACGCACGTCTTATATTTTTTTAAAAATGCCAAACCTACTCACATAGACACATACACACGGTGACACGGTTTAATATAAACATATTGAAATGAATACTATGAGGTTTATCTTAAAAATAATGCAATTTCATTACCCACTTAATCAAGCAGATTTCGTATTGTCTAATTAGTAATTCAAACAAGTAGACTAATATTGTTAACTCAAACTCGCTCATTTGGAAAACAAAATTCTTATATCGAATTAACTTTTGCCAACTCTAAATTAGCAACTATTGTACTATTGCGCAAAGTGCGTACATGTAATACACCATGGGAAAACGGGAGCGCATAATCAGTGGTGGTAAATGCAATTGCAATGGGTCTAAAGAAAAGTGGAAAAAATGAAGGTTCTTGGGAAGCAATGGTGGGGTTAAGGTCAGACGGATATCATGTGATCTTCGAATTCTCGCCATTTATCACAAACTCACTTACTTAGTGACGATGATGTAATATTAATATAAATATAATACTCCCTTCGTTTTTTTTTTATATGCATCACTTTTCTTTTTGAGGTGTTCTTTTTAAATGCATCACTTTTATATTTGGTAGCTTTTTACTAAATTTTATGATTTATCTCTCTTACTTTAAACCCCACTCAACTTATTTTATCATTTCTCTCTCTTCCATGGTCCCCACTAAAATAATAAAAAAAATCTATCCCCTCTCACATACTTTCTCTTTTATGATCCCCATTCCCCATATTACTTTTACTATGAAATATAATAATTTATTCACTCCCTCACAATATTATATTAATCTCCTAAACTCTTTTTTTTAGTAGGTGTACCTTTGTAGTATCACGTGTCCCACGTGACCAAATGCCGTACATGTAGCCCAAGTGATAACCACTCGTCACAAATGGAGGGCTAAAGAAGTTAAAGAAGAGTGTCGGTGAAGAAAATGGTTTAATTTTAATTCACCTAAATGTGATGTTGCTCTTAATAACTGTTGCGTATTGTACTGGACCATAGTCCATGAGACCATCACCATTTATGGGTCCATTCCTAAAACATGCGTAGTTTCTTAGTAAAAATGTGATTGTTGCAAACGAAACTTAGTTTTGTACGAAGTTTTATGTGATGATAATTGATTCTGATTCTACTTGCATTTCTTTATAAATTAATTGCAATGTTTGAAATTTTAGTTGAATAGATCGAGAAATTTCATTGTTAGAGGAGCAACTCAATCAAAAGCTTAAGTTGATGGTTGAGGCCCAAGAATATATTTTATACTCTATCACTCCCTCTCACATGAAAGATCCTTTGGGCTTGAAATGTGGATGCAACACATTTAAAGTAAGGGTGGATGAGATTCGAACCCGTACGCTGGCTCTGATACCATGTTAGAGGACCAAGTCAATCAAAAGCTTAAACTGATGGTTGAGACCCAGAAATATGTTTTATACTCTATCATTGATTCAGACTAATCTATAATCAGAGTAGCTTTTACAAAAAATATACTTAAGTTAGGGTACCTTGTACTTTTTTGCTTTTTTTGTGAAAGGGAGGGTACCTGGTAGTCTGGTACTTTGCTAAATTATTATATAGCCAAAAATCTGGTACATCAGTCCATATTACAATCTAATCTATATTCGGGCCAATTACAATGATGGCCCAATTTGGTTAGTTTCAGTCAAGCCCAACCACTTCATCCAAACTCATTCCATCAGCCCTCTGAAAAACTGGAACAGAGTCTTGTTATATGAATGCAAATTACTACAGAATACTTTGTATTATTGCCCTCACTCTTTACAACAATTAAGAACAACCCTTCCAAAAAGTAATTGATAATTATTTTTAGAAAAATGATAGAGCCTCTAAGACCTATGTATAAGAAGCTAAAAATGAAATACGTAGTATTAAGGATAGATTTACATTAATTACAAGAAAACAATTAATGAGAGCAAACCTATTGCAACCTTAATTCAGTTTTAGGAAGTGTATGCTTATATATAGCCCTAAAGGCTACATTAATTACATTGGATATGTTTCGATAGAATTCAGAAAAATTAGTCCAGAATCGTACTCCATAAAACAGTTAAGACTACTATTGCAACATTATTTGTTCGAACTGATAGAAACAACAATGTCGTAGTTACAACTTACAAGAAAACAATTACAACTTATACATCAAACTCAAACTCTACTACAATAGCAAACCCTTAAAATTAATCAACTAATTAATTAAAATCAAGGACTAAGAGCTCCATAAGTTACTGATGGCTGAGGTTGTGGGACACCTTCTATTAACATTTCAGCATTCAAATATGGAGTAGTTTTCTTGCAAGGCATATATTTGTGCATTTTATTATCCAAGTCACCACAAGTTTTGGGCCTTTTAAAAAAGAATGCACAATCATCTGGGCTTCTTTGATCCGGAAGGCCCAATATACAATTGTGCCTCACATCCAACACTCCTTTTCGGATCAGCTTCATACATTCCGGCCCAACTTGGGTAAAATAGTTATCACACAATTTCAATTGCGTCAAGTGAGGCAACATACATACTTCCTCAGGCACAGGACCATAGAACTCATTCTTTTCCAACACTAGGTACTCCATTTTACCCAAACATGCGAACGATCGGGGTATTGGGCCGGTTAAGACATTCTTCGAGACGTCGAAAACACGGGCCTTTTTTAGAAGCCCAATCTCATAAGGAAGGCAGCCCGAGAACCTGTTTCCTAAGAAGAGGACCTCGAGGAGGGTGTTTGAGGCCTGCCCAATGGATCTTGGTATTGGGCCTGTGAACTTGTTGTTAGCAAAGGTTAGGAAAGCGGCCGGGGTTGAGCCCATATTAAGTGGAAGGTCATGCTCAAACTGATTATTGTTAATAAAAAGAGCTAACACTTGTAAGTCAAACAATTCGGGCGGAACGGGGCCCACAAATGAGTTAAATCTAAGGTCCAAGAAGGTTAACTTAGTAGCAGTAAGTACATTCATAGGGAACTTCCCTGTGTACTTGTTGTTACTAAGGTCTAACTCAAATAGGTAAGGAAGACCGCTTAACACCGGGATTTTTCCTCCGTAATTATTGGTATTAGCGTGGAAAATTGACACGTCGGCAAGTTTGTTGATGAAGTTATCTAGGGTAATGTTTTTCCCCATGATCTTACACTCGTTAAATTGAAACGAGTAGAGGCCGTTTTCCTTTGTGTTGGGAAGAGGTGCACACCCAAACTTAGGGTTGACACATAAGTTAGGATTCTTCATATGTTTAACCTTTGTGGATAAGCCACACTTGTCAGTATCAATCCCTTTAATGAATTGTTGTATGACACGTGTGGCTTTTAGGACACGGGATTCTCCGAGGGGTGGTGGTGGTGACGATGGAGGGGGGTTGGATGGTGGTGGTGGTGACGGTGACGGTGGAGGTGGGGTGGTCGGTGGTGGTAACGACGGAGGAGGGGGGCATGGTGCTGGTGGTGGTAGTGGTGGAGGACAACTCCCAGACATTTCAGGGGCAGGCGAGCCACCAATGGAAATAGGCTCGCCGCCAATGGCAATGCCTAAGGCTTCCCTATTTGGTCTAGGAGTGGCTTGAATGTCATGGGTGGCAACTACAACTACAACATGGTACGTACAACATAGTGACACAAAAATTAAAATAATGTGCATGAAATGGGTAGTAGGAATGGCAAGAATAGAGGATTTGGTGCTCATAATTTTGCAACTAAGGTTTTCACTGTTTTTTAGTTTGGTGGTGATTATTATGAGTGTACCTCATTTAGTATTCCTTATCCCCTTATATAAAGATGAAAAATAATTGGAGTGGACATCAGTACAGCTGCCATTGTGCTTTAGACAAAAGTTGACTAAGTCTTCTTAATTATGTAGAGGATGAGTACGTTTGTACTCATGTATGGGTGGGAGTTGAGTTAATTTTTGTTCTTGAAATAGCTACCAAATTTAAGGTATATATGCATAGTTGCATATACATTAATGTCCTCATAAATTATTTGATGATTTTAATCGATTGTGTCGAGTTATCTTATAATTAAAGACATACAAAGTACAGTACGTAATATAAATACACTCTTTAATTATTTTTAGATTAAATGAGACAAATAAGAAATGTTGTATTATTTAACGAGCTGGGCAATATTGGGTATAGCCATATGGACAATAATGTTTTCTCATACAATAGTTGTGCCATGCTAGGCAATACAATGTATTTCCTTTGTAATCATGTGAAGGAAAAGTAGGGTATTTGTTTTGCATATAAAAAATGTAAGTGTCTCGTATTGCACATAAAAAATTGTAGATTTTTTGTCATTAAAATGAGTCTCTTAAATTATTTTTTTGTCAATTATTACTAATTTTGAGCTGTAATTTGTACTTTTTTTAAGTGGCTGCAATCTATAAAATACAAATTTTAAATAGCTGTAATTGATAAATTCCTAATCATAGTTTTCATCATAGAAAAGAAAAAAATACTCTCGTGAAGATCGATCGTTAAACTCCAAGAGTGTTTGAATCATGGATTTTTGTAGTAGAAAAAGACATACTTCTATCAAGTTGCCAACCTTTTTTTTTTGTTCTAGTTTGAAAAGTCAAGAGTCACGGCAAATAGGCTTAGATATTTTTTTTACAAGAGTAGGGCAACATTAAAGTCTTTGCCTATAGGCCTATAGCATATGGTTCATATTACTTTGTTGAGTTTTTTTTTTTTTTTATTTGTATTGACCATACTTTTTAAAGTCTTTGCCTCTTTAGTGCCTTTTTGGCCCGTTGTACGTAGTCTAATAAGCTCCTCATAATCTCATATATATTAGGTATCATTATGTACAAACAAAAAATTTATAAGTATAGAGTATTACTACTCTTTCTATCCCTTGATTAAATTTCTACTTCTCTCTATTATGTGAGGAATAAATAATACTAGAAGTAGAATTTAATTAAGGGACGAAGGAAGTACTATATAAATGTATAGTGTATATGTATTATGAGTTTGCTTAAGAATGAGGGTAAGAAAAGGTAGGAAAGAATGGAAGTTAATTGATAGAATTTTTTTAAAAAATGTTAGGGCATGTTCTGATTGATTGAAATGAGCTGAACTGAACCGAATACTTTATGAAATAAGGAAATTAATAACTCAAACTTATAGGAGCATAACTGAACTGAACAAAACTGAAAATAATGTGAAGAAAACATGCCTTATAATTTACTTAGTTGAAATATTTTGCATGCATGGGTTTAGAAGAATTATGTAAAAAAATTTGTTATGATATATGGATTGATAACCATTAAGAAGCATTATGCATAATAAACCGAAGCTTTAGTCAATTAAGGAGTTTCGACACTCGTATATATGTAAAACAGTTTTAATTTGTTAGTTTCACAATTACTGCAGTTATACACTATTAAGTATCAACTATCCATTCATATGTCCAAACACTGTTTTTAAACAGTTTTTGGAATTAATTTCATACTAGTATGTGACAAGAAAAGGGTACATCAACATCAATCTTTCAAAAGATAACAACGACATTTAAAATTATTATTCCGTATTGAAGAAAAGCAAAAAAGCTCCCATATTGTTTTTTTCCTATTCCCCACCCTGATGTGCCTTATTGCCCTTATACAAAAAAGAAAATTTACATCATCTACAATTCTACATAATAACAATAATTATTCATTGTAAATATCGTACATCCATTTATTTTAATTTCTCATTTGTTCATTTAGGTGTGAGAGTTTTGACTAAGCAAAATGACTATGGTAATCTTGTAGATTGCACACTTGTGTGTTTAGTGGACAGTACATTATAATCAACTTTTGCAAGATATTTGCATTTTTTTGTGTGTTAGAGGAGCCACAAGGGCGGAGATGAGAATCGATCCCTAAATTCTCCGAAATCGGGAGGAAGCTCTAACCATTTGAGGTATCTCTCACTCTCTAACTTTTAACTCACAATTGCAGATAGGTCACCAACTTTGTATATAGGACGCATAAGTCAATCTCGTTATTTGAAGTGATAAATAAGAATCCACAGTTCCACACACAGCCACATTTCTTTTAAGATTTTAACAATCGGTTGCACAAGTAGGAGCAATGTGCTCATGTATGATGTATCACATCCCTCCCAAAATGTATGAATTTGAGCTAGTTGAGCATTATGGACAAATTTAGAGGGTTTTGGACGAAATGTGTTAAATGTATGCATGAAATTAATAAACATGATAACAAATCCACATTGACATGAAAAACATTATTGATTTCTTAGAAGAGAGTAAAAGAGGTATGAGTAAAAGATACAGATATTTACTTTTCTCACGGATCAATGGAAAAAAACAGGTGAGATAGATAGTATCAATAGAGATACAAATCATACAATACAGTGCTTTTACAATAGATTCACAACCTACTCAACTCCATGTCGTTACAATCTACTCCATACTTGAGAAAGTAAATTTGGGACTAATAAAATGCTAGCTTTAATTTACCAATTTACATATTCATGTAACATGACATGACCAACATCCAAAGGAAAGATTAAACGATCTGTACTAGACTACATAAGTTATCAGATGACGATTTATTATATTACTCCTTCAAAGACAATGTATGATCTTTTGATCGTTTAAAGGTCCTTTTCACCCGGCCTCTTTGTAATTACTTTGGTATGTATGGTGGTTGAAAATTGAATTAATTACCATATGCGATCCTTTTTTTTTTATTTTTTTTATTATTATTATGATGAGAAAGGTACATTCACATTCATTATGGGAAAAAAAAAAAAAAAAAAAAAAAAAAAAAAAAAAAAAAAAATTGGATTAGAAGAAAGTACATCAAAATTAGTTATTTATATGGCATAACATAATTCATAATAAGCATTCATAGGTGATCAAAAACGGCAGTGCATATTTAGTTAATGATGTGGGTCAGAAAAACTCACATTGTAATTTTAAGCCCATTGTAGAAGCTAGGCCCGTCCTCAAAAATTTCATAATGGGCTTTATCACATTTTTCTATCATTGGGCTAGTCCATCTCCACAAAATCAAGGCCTTATTGTAAGAAGAGATCTTGTCTTCAGCTAAATTTTTAAACTTGTAGACGTTGTAGTCATACTCATTCACTTCTTTATTTTTTTATTTTTTTCGAAAGACACTTTTTCTGTATTAGTAATTTGTTTATTTTTTTATGCATTTATTAAATTTTACTACAGTAATGTATTTTATTTAAACTACTGTAGATGTCATTTACATAGCAAAATATTTCTACCAATTGGTTGTTGGTGTAGTGGTGATTGAGACTACACTTGGTAGGGAGGGCTCGTGTTCGATCCCCGCAACAACAATCGGGAGGGGACTGGAACCTTATCACCCATAACTGATCCCCGAATCCGAATTAGCGCAAAGGGTTGAGCTAATCCGGGTGGAACACCAAAAAAAAAAAACATAGCATAATGATTCTCATAGGTTAAAGTGGAGTAATGGACATAATTATAGTCATAAATTCACCCTGGGACACCCATAAGATCTTTAAAGCGAAGGCTAGTCTATGTGTTATTACTTGAAATATAATGCTAACTTTAATTTCGTTTTCTTAACTAGGGATTATTTAACGGGTAACACTTGGATCTTCCATAGACAATCACCTTATTTTCTCATGACAATTCCATGTTACAAATTCTATATATGATCTACTTGTTTATATCAAGAAGAAACAAAATTACAATCAAGACTAATTTGGAAAATATGAATTATGTTACCTATATTGGCTATATACATTGAATCAAGAATTGGAAAAAAAATCCAACAACAAAAAAGTTAAATAAAATAAGATTCTAGTATCTAAAATATACAGAATATACTATCTACCCCATCTCTTATTTATTATGTTGGTCAAGTTGAGAATTATTCTCAATAATTGCATAAATATTATTGGTTGGATCATCTATGTTAAGCTACCTTTGATTGCTACTTGCAACCAGCATGCACATGGATGTCTCTAATATCATATGCTTTGATCTCTTCTTGATGATTTTCCTAGCAACTTACAAGGGATAATGTAATTTAAGGCAATCTTTCTTTTACAAAATTATTACTCGTAATAAAAATAATCCAACATAATTGGGGATAGCTAAAAGATTAATCTTCCATCATGTGATAGTATTTAATTATGACTTTAGAAGTCATCTAATTAAGTACTTGTCAATTGAAATTAGTGATTTAAACGTCATCTACGTTAGCTCAAGAAGAAGTGGTCATCAAATCAAATGACGAATCTTACTTTAGGGCCAATTAGGGGGGTTTTTTTTTATATATATTTTTGTTATTATTCGTTTTTCAGTTTTTAAAAGAGACCCTAAGAGGTATGTATAAGAATTTTAAAAGGGGATTCAGAATAAGTAATTCGATCATATTGTAACACTGTTATAAGTTTATAACCATTAAGCTACTAAATTAATTACGTGTTAGTATTCATGTCTTAAAAACGTCTCTTTAAATCTTTCATGATAATTGCATGTGATAATCTCACTTATAAATGAAAAGATATTATTACTTATTAGAGTTTTTACAAGAATGGAGTGCTTAATTGGTAGTTTGGTACAATACGAAGTTAAGTTATATGTGTGGTTAGATCTCATTTGTTGCATCAAAAAAAAAAAAAATTGGAAAATCACTCTAATTGGTTGCAAGACTCGTAACTATGAACGGTTCTTGGATGAATGACCGGCTCAATACCTTTCAAAGAAATAAATATTGTGCAGTCCAGAATTAGAATTACTTTATTG